TCAGTTTAGACTCTTGAAACAATAAGCTTCTCTAATTTTGAGGGCCTTACAGACTTAATTCTTCTGTCTCCCTAGTTCCTTGTGTAGAAGTTTTGTCAGGACTGAGGAATTAGCCAGAAGGAATGGTAAATATTGACTGGCGTAAAAGTGAGGTAAATGTACTAAAGAGAACATAAGATGAGTCAATCAGTTTAACAAAATGTAGTCTCCATTCCTGTTCATATGTGGTACTTTTTCACTGTTCGCTCTTCCAATATGAAGAAGCAGGCTAACAGATTGAGACAGATTTGGCTTCTAATTAAAGATAGGTGAGAAAAAAGAAGGGCAGTTAGTACAAATGACAAAATCTAACATGTACTAAAATGACTAAGCAACTGAAAGAAATACCACAGTCTTGATGTTGCTATCCCTTAATCTGAATTCCCAGTAGCACCTACGTGCACTGTACTTCTGCTTATAAAGACAATTATTTTTACACATATTGAATCTAGAAAGGGTTGTCATCTAGAGTTTAGAATTACTCAGAAAGACGTTTGTTATATCTTTATTCGTGATACTGATTTGTTGTGAGACCCTGGGAAAGCAGTAAGATGTCCAAATGTAGCTTTTTGCACAAGGCTGGACACAGACTGTTTTCTGTCAAGGCTGGAAGTTAAACAGAAACCTGCTCCCTTTGAGCTTAGTCCGTGGCAAAACTCCACTTACAAGGCAACAGTATCAGACTCTTAATACTTAATAGCATATAGAAGGACAGTGTGAAATCATAGAACTACTGGGACACATTTCAAATGGAAAATGTGAACTCAAGGGAAGAATGAACTCAAGAAGCACAAAAATTTAGCTCTTGATTTATCCAAATCTGACAGCAGTACTTCATGTAACAAAAACCAGATCAACTTGGCAAAAGGTTTTCCTTTTTTAAAGGAGGTTTAGTTTTAATCTGTGATCGTGATAGATTGTCCGTGGTCAAGAACCCTGCACTGATGTAAAAAACTGGTATTACTTGACACCCTAGTAACACAGACTTTCCATTGTGTAACAGTGCTGTTCTGTGTTCCCAGTTCTTTCACATCTGCTTACCAATGTACTCTATATATTTGGGTGGATTTTTTTAAGTTGAAAACACAGAATTGTTAGCCCAAATAGTTTTCAGACATGCCTTGAGCATGCTTTTAATTTCTAGCTCCTTTTTCCTTTCAAAAGTTCTTGCAGTTTAGCAACTTCATTTGCACAGACTTCCAAGTTTGCTAGGAACTTGGCTGCAAAGGCTCTGTGAACAAATTTAGAGTTCTGCCAATATACCTAGGTGCAACATGAAGATCTAAGCATTCAGACACTCTGCCTCAGCCTCTTCATAGGTCCGTGTAACATTGTTCTGCAAAAATAGACCTTTGTTATGCAAGTGATGTGTGTAGTATATAAACTTGTTTTGGAGGTAAATGTTGCTTTTTCACTGCTGTTTTTTCCTTCAAGATAGGGCAAGTAAGAAAAAGTAGGTTTCTGTGACTCTCATTGAGAGTATGAGTAAATCCACACTAACTACAATCCAGAAGCTGGGTTTCAGTTACTATAGGCCTTCCTAACCTACCTTTACATTAGCTAGCCTAAATATGAACAACAGGTTTAGTTTTAACCTGGGCTATTACAGTTCGGTATTACTGTGGTTAAATATTCAGAAAGTATAAACGCATCTTTTGAGCTATGGTCCCAGGAATGGGTCATTCATTCAGGGATGATCTAAACTTAAACCTATTAATTCAGAATAGATTCGTAAAACCATATTAAAGCCATCTTCCTTTACAGTTCTGTGAAGAAGTACAAACCCAGAAATTTAAACAGAGATGCAGAAGCCAAAACTGAATGAGTTACCACTGAGATGTATTACATGACTACCTTCTTGCTCTTGTTGCAAACTGGAATAAAACATAGTTTAAAGTGCCATGAAAATGGCTTAAACCAAGTTGTTGGGGTTTTTTTTGCAATTTATGCTTTGTTGTGAGTGTCTGTATAGGAAACAAATAGTTCATTATTATGCAACTATCCAAAATGCAAATTTAATTCTGCAGCTAAGTGATAGCATTAGCAACTGATGCAATTTTACAAATTAACAGGCCTGCTTACTGAATGCTCCAGTGCACTGATTAAGGACTTCTGAGTAGAAACATGGAAGGGATTCACTTGGGGACAACTTTTAACTTCTAATTAGGAACAACTGCTGTGATGTCACAGATCCTTGTTACCATCAACAAAGGTATGTACTAAGTGTCTCTTTGCACCTACAGATATTTACTAAAAGCAGTTTGGATAGTCAAACCTATGTGAAGGTATAGTTTAGGGGGTTTCACTAACAGAGATGAACTTTTTGAACAAAAGCACATGTTGGTTTTGTAAAGGTGATAGTTTGGAAAAAGACCTCTTGCCAAAAAAGAGTGCAATGGTTACTATACAACAATCAGATGAAATCCCAGAATACTACTTTTTTGCCACTTTTCAGAGTGGAACTGCAATTAAAAGGGACAAACCTCAGCTGTTCTCAGTGTTCTATGTGGTATGTGTAGAATTCAAAGCTATTTGGCTTTTTGTTTGAATTAGGTGAAATATTTTAAAATAACTTGCATATATTTTTCACCATATTTATTACAGGCAAAATGCAGTACTTCAGTTTTACTGGAAGCCTGCTTTTGCTTCTTGCTTTTGTACATTTGTACTATGTAGTAACTACTGCTTTTCACTGCTTCAAGGTAAATCTAAAGTAAAGTAGTAAAGAAGTAAAATAGTTTATACTTTCATGAAATTTGAAGAGCAGGCTAGGAAAATTTTAAATATTTAGAACTGTCTTTTTACTCCCACTCCAAATTTGGTAGCAACTTTGCACATCGATCAATAAACTGAAATCATAATGAATGAAAAAAACCCACTTCCAATACAATTTGGAATATTATTCAAGCTGGAAACAGATACATGAAATCAATATTCACAAGATTATTCCATTCCCACTGGTGTCAAAGGACCTACAAATGTTTTAAATTAATAATTAATTTGTTTTGAAATCTGAATAGGTTAACTGTGTAATATTGCTGGCTTTTCTATTTTAAATGTGTCTGTGGTGATTTATGCATAAAGAGACTGAACTCAGGAATGAAAAAATCAAATTTATTTTGATGAACTTCATATCCTTTCATTTTTAACACTGCTCCTTATTTCCATACCAGAAAGTTGTTATATTTGTTACCAGTCCAGACACTGAGTCATTCTTGTTTAAACCAGACACTAGGCTCTCTGTGTAATTTCTCTCTCCCCTTCAGAGTTTTTGGACTGAGAGGAAAATTGTAATGCCAGGTGCCTCCCCCAGCTCCATTTCTGTAAAAACACACACAGGTGCTAAATGCTGCCAAGCAGCAGTGGAAATTCTCTGAGCTCTGGTTCTTTCAGATGCAGCTACGTTAGGGAATACCACCCGATTCTGACAATATGTACAGACTTACAGTTTCGGGTTAGAATGCTTCATCTTCTTCTCTCCAAAAACCTCTCCTGACACTTAATGATGATGCAGTGATAGTCATATGGCTTCTTTCATATGAGGTAACCTGGCATTTAAAGGTAAGAACTCTGCAAGTTTCTCTCTAAATTTTATTTTCTTTTTTTCTGAAAACTTATGTGGAACTTTTAACAGAGCTGAAACTGAAGGATTTAGATATTGTTCATATTTTGTGTTAAAAAAACTATGTGTGATACAGGTTTTAAATGTGGGTGGTGCCAGAAACTGGTTTGTTCTTCTTTTTGCAAACAAGTAACCCCTGAACACTCTGTTACCATATGGCCACTTTGAACAATGCTCGTTCACAAAAAATACCTGTTTGATTCCAAAGCATAAAACTGAATTTATTTTCAAAGGGATTCAGCGTCCTAACTCACTTCTGTTGGTTGGGTAATATAACTTGGCTACCTACGTATAGAGGCTTAGACTCATACAATTGCATTGCAGTGGTGCTTTAGTAACTACAGATGTAAAGAAGTTTGAGAATGTCTTTCGAATTTGACATTTTTCAGTAATTCTAGTTTTTACCACTAGATGGCTTCCCAGGATAGTGGATATAGATCCAGACCTCCTGAATTAACGTGCGGGATTGGATTCATTTTGGCACATTCTTAGTGATAGATAGTCATAAAAACGAAGTTCTTTCCAGCTCAGCCGTGAAGATAGCAATGTGAGGTTTGACATCCCGGAGCATCTTCTGACATCCTCAAAGCTTTGTATATTAGGTTATTTGTGATTGCTGCCACAACTAACTGTGTATGAACAGCTCTCCGTTCAAATGTGCAGTTAGATCCTCCTCAGAAATGCTTAATCAGTGCAATTGAGAACATAACTTACCTGCCTAATGCTTAGCAGTGCAAACAACCAAGTCGGGGGACCTAGTTACAGTACAATTTGCCCTTTCTCCTGTTACAACATAGTTTAAAGTGCTATGGAGACCTTCTTGTGTTGCAACTATGCCTTCATAACCAGACGAAAAAATCTTGGAAAAGGAGAGGAAAAAAACCACCCTTTGTCGTGAGCAAGTGAGTCTCCCTCCTTCATTCAGAGCCTGCCTTTTTTATTGCCCCACTACTAAATCAACAGTTTTCAGCAATGCAAGCATCTTCCAGCTTGGAAAATCCACGCGTTGTCACATTGTCCATAAAACCATCACTCCAACGGTAATAGATTTTGACGATTATCAGCCTAGGCTGGATTCAGCCTGGCAATCTAGGGCTGAAAGAAGTTTTCCCCTCCACGCCAGCTTATCCCGGGCAAGCAGTTCTGTGCCAGAGCTCCGTAAGGCAGAGATAGCTCCCTTGAACTCAGCCTTAACCCCGGCTGTTCCTGGAACTGCTTTTTCCTGGGCTCAAGTCAGACCACAGCACCTTCTTTTCTGGTGTGTGTACGTTAGGGAGGAGGCAGGGGTTGCCTGGCTCGGTTACAGTGTTCTTCAGCTGCAGCTGCAAGCCCAACGTGGCACGCAGCAAGCCCCGACTTGCGCGCTGCAGCTCAGAAGCGAGCGTACGGCTCAGCCTGCCTGCATGTGTGAGTTTATGTGCGGTGGCTCCGAGATAGCTCTGGGGGAGGGGAGAGCCAAGCCAGCCACTCACAGAAACAGTAGTGAAATCTCCCCAACACTTTAACTGTCAATCAGGCTTAATGGGGTATAAAAACTCCCCAGCGCCGCGGCTGTGATAGGCAGAGAGAGCAATAGGGAGAAATGAGTAAGAGCCAGAGCTGAAATAGTGTACGGCATAATTCCTGCTCTGTGATCACAGATACTCCAAGTGAAAAAAACAGGAGAGGGGGCAGAAGGAGGCGGTTATCAGCTCAACCTTTGCAACCGGCTCAGGACAGAACGTCTATAGATATTTATAGATATTAAAACAAAAACAACAACCTTGCCCTGAATAGAGCCTTTCTTAAAAAGAAGGTCCTGGCAATTCTGTCTTATTTAAGCAATTTCCTGAGTCTAAGAATAGAAATAAGCTGCCTGGAAGGCACTGCAGGCTGAAATTTGGAGACATAGGCTGCTTTATTTTATTTCTCCAAGTATAAAAACCTTCCATTTGGATACTGGATTTTTATGTCGGTTTTTGAAGCAGAGGGATGTATGGTTACTTTTAATTCTACTTTTTTCTCTCTCTCTTTTAATTTAAAAAAACTGTTTTCCAGTTAAAAAGCAAGGAAACCGTTTTACCTGCATGTGACAATCCCAGAGGACACCGATCAAGAAACAGGGGAGTGACTTGGTCTTCTGCACTACTTTACTCCTACCCCAATTTTTTTTAGGGGGAGAGAAGGATTTTTCCAGTCCAAGAATCTCTTTGCCCCCAAGTTCTGGAAGGGGGTTGAAGACTTGTCACCCATCTGGGGGTGCATGAAGGGTATTGGTTTTCTTTCTCTGTTAACTTGGCTCTGTGAAGGGTTGGAAGAGAATTTTGCCTTCCTGACTTGCCTGGAACAAGAGGATGATTTGGAAGTGGCTGGGCGCTTTGCTGCTTTTCCCCGTGCAGATGGTTTATTTGGTGGTGAAAGCTGCCGTGTGCATGGTGCTGCCGCCCAAGCTCCGAGACCTGTCCGGGGAGAACGTGCTCATCACCGGAGGGGGCAGAGGGATCGGCCGCCATCTGGCCAGGGAGTTTGCTAAACGAGGAGCCAGAAAGGTGAGCATCGGCACGAAGGGGAAGGGGGGGAGGAAGCTCCCACCTGCTGCTCTACTGGGGAGTCCTCCGACTCGGAGACTTAAAAGCCTTTTCCCTCGCCTCTAGGTGGGATTGATGGGATCGCTTTGAAAAGGTGAGAGCGGAGAAGGGGCACTAATTTTGCCAAACCCTGGTGTGCTGCGCCATTACGTTGACTTACATTTCAGAAGTTGCCCACTCCTTCCCTGCGTCCTGTCTGTCCCCATCTCATCTGAGAAAACGTGACAGTGAGAAAGGGGGCCCCTCGTGAATCCTCCTCTGCTGACAAAGGAGAGGTTTTTGCTCCAGCCCAGGTTTCCTGTGGCAGGGAGAGGAGAGCGATGTGGTTCCCATGCCTGAAGCTAGTGCTCACTTGCTTTTCTGTTTACTAGGCTGCTTCCTGGCAGTTCTGGTTGCTGGGACTGCGTACAAACAAGAGAGGGGGGCAGCTGACTGCCGGCTCCAGCCTTCCCGGCTGAGCACATCTGTAGCTCTCCTTAGGGACAGCCAGAGTGCCGCTGCCACTCGTGTCACCCCTGAGGAGAGGGGCTTGACTCAGAAAGGGGCAAATGGTGTGTGCAGGAGGGTTCTGGCTCTCGGTGCTGATAATGCATTCTCTCGGGAAAGTGGAGAGAAGAGTTCACTTTCACCCCGATGGTTTTCCATTCACGAAATTAATTTCTTGTGCCTTCTGAAGTCCCTTGTATTTTGCTTTTGGCCAGCCCAGAGCAGTTCAACGGTAGGATGAATGAGAACCCAGCAAGGAAGAAAAGCACCACACGAATAGGAGCTGTGGGATTGTTCACATGTTTCCTTTAGGAGGGAGAGGCTGAGAGGCTTGTCTGTCTGCACAACATCCTAGAAATGCCAGTGTAGCTGGTGTGTCCATTCTCTAGCTCAGGAACTGGTGGTTTACCTTGAAATGCTGTGTTTTCATAAGTACACATATCTTGATATGTGTGAATCAGTCTGCAATACAAACACACATACCCTGAACTGAGGCTTGAGATTTAAAGTTTCAACTCCCACTTTATGGGTAATGAGAGGGAGGAATCATGAAATTAGACAGCTGCATAAATACTTCCCTGTGTGAGAGAGGATGAATGAGAGTAAATAGAGAATAAAGAAGAGGAAAAATACAGAGTGAGAGGATATTTAAAGAAAAATTTGCATTTAGTTTGGGATAGTGTTTTGTCACTTCCTGACACATGCATTACAGTTTTCTATGTGTGGTATAGAGCTATTTTGGCATACAACTTCGAGGTGTAAAATATGTCAGCATTGAACTTTGATGTTTGTATATGCTTGTGTTTAAACACCATGTTGAGATTTACAAATTCTTGGAGACGGAGCAAACAAGTTGACTGACCTTTGGACCCAAGCAATTTGCTGAAAGTGTATTTATATTATCTGTTGGAATACCATGCTTCATTATTTATTTAGTCCGGCTGGTTGTATGCTAAGCTCTGGTATTAAAGTACCACCACTTCTGCAAGTAATTCAAGAGCTGCTCAGCTGCAGTTAAGCTAGAAGCTGAACAATGGCAGTCAGCCCTAATGAACCAGGTGACATGGGCCAAAAGGAGAGCGAGCTATTTAGGATATAGAGCTGAGGGTGAAATTACTGTAAACAGATACAAACTGTAGTTCATTTGTATGTCTTATCTATAAACTCTCTATGTATCTTAGAAGGAAAGAATAAATGAGAATAATTGGTGGGTACCTTTGTACTTGTCTCATATGATGTTGTGAAATGCTGTGTGGTTGCTAGTTATTATTTTGAACTTGGGGGGGGGGTTGCCTTATGGGTTTTTTTCATGTTTGTCATCAAAGTGTTTCAGTTTTTGCTTTTACTGAATTTGAATTAGATTCTCCTTTCAGTTATATCATTGCTATCCGGTAAGTCAAATATGGCACTCAGCAAGTTTTGATCCTCTCTGTAGTGGCACTGCCTTTCTACCTTCAGGACTGGCACATGTTCCCTGCAACTCTGAAGTAGGCTTATTCTTTTCTGCCTTGACATTCTTAATGACAGTTTTACCTAGATGTGGTAGTTTCCATTTCCTGTGCTCTGAGATTTCATTTCTTTCCTGCCTTCTGTGCTCAACCCTAACTTTGTGAATGTAATGCAGTCTCCATGTAGAATACCAGATCTCTGTTTGGCACTACTCTTCAATTTTATGTTTTGCTGTAGACAATCAAAAAGAAACAAAAAAGACTTGAAGTGGCTAGAAAGTCATCTTTCAATAAGGCTTGTGAAAACTAACTATTCTACTTTTCTGTTGTCTTCTTACACAGTTAACTCTTTTACAATTATATGCAAAGCTTTAATTATTGATCATAATTAATAATTTCTAACAGATTCTGATTATTAGATGGCGTGGTCACAATATTCCAAGTTTAGAAAAGCACTTCCACTAAAGGCGTGAAATTCTGAGGCCAAGCACTGTGTTACATAGAGGTGAACAGAAACAATAACATACAGATTCAGAGTCTAATAGTGGGTGTGCAGTATATCTTGAAAAAGTCATCACAGCGCTTGCGCACACAGACATAGTGGCAGAGTTTTGGAGGTAGGCGGCGATATATAACCATATTTTTGAGATTAGAATCTTCTGAATGATAGGTTAGTTGAGACTTAGCATAAGAAGTTTCCTCTGATAATTAGACTGGGTTGGATTTATAATCTTACACTCTATATTTTCAGTTTTGGTTTTGTTTATCACAAATGAGATGTATTTGAGCAGTTTTCACGTAAGATGACAAGTGTTGTATCTCACTAAGATTACGAATTGTCACATCTGCAACTTTTTTACTGTAAAATTTCATCTTGCATTTAAAGCTATGAAGATGGCAAGAAATAAAAAAGGGTTTGTGCAAATAGAAATACAGCATCTTTTGCTTGATAGATGAGTATGGAGACTGAAATTCTCAATCCAACAGAATGGAAGTCTCTTGGGCATGATCATGTAAATCCATCCTGATTCCCATCCTCTACCCCCCATTCTTTTAAGTCCATTGCTCTGCCATTGTGCGTCAAATATGACTTGGACAGGTAAATGTCTAGGAGACATTTCCTTCTAAGGTGATGTTTCTTTTCTCATGGTTGTTCATTAGCTTCTCTGATGAAACGGCCAATAAGGGGACAAAGTGTCAGTTGTATTTTTAGTTATGGAAGTGTGTATCTTCTATTTTTTTTTTAATTAAGACTACCAGTGATTTTTAGGCAATGAAAGACTTGAATCATTAGATCATCCCTGTTCAGGTGTATACTAAGAGGTCAAAGGATCCATACTGTATTTTACTTTCGGGTAGAAGTTTTCAAAAACTACTTGGTCATGGGAGGCACTGTGTATTTAAATGCTTCCTGTAGAACTTCTGGAAAAAACCAAAAGCATGTAAATTTTGTATGCAGAGAAAGAGTGATTTACAGATGATACAGGACATGTTAGTGTTATTATGAGGGATGACTAGCATTGAATTTTCCCCGGAAGTACTGAAGTATTGTAATTCAACTTTCATGCTGTTCCCCAGAGATGTGTCCAGATTCAGAAGTGCTGGCTGAGGAGTTACTTTGCTGCAGCTGAATTGCTGGAGAAACATACTTTTTTGCTTTAGTTCCTTCTTGGTTGCTTGCAAAATTCAAAATTTTCACTATTGTTGGCTTTAACTCTTGAGAATTTTGACTACACCTTAAAAGTATTTGACCAGTAGAGCATCACCTCTGCCTCAGTCTCACACATTGGTAGTTTTGTTAAGGCTCTTAGCTTTTGATATTCTGTGGTTAGCCAAAATGGCAGAGTATATCTGTGTTAATGAAACAGGAGAAGGAGAGATTTTTATGAGTTTATGATTTAATGCTTATGAAATAAAAATCCACTTCCAAAGCTTAATGGTGTTTTGCAAAGAATATACTCTATAATCAAGTTAATATTGGGAAGACTGGCCCCTTTGAACAATATTTCTTGTGTGGAAATACAGATGTGAGTAGTCAAAGGGATGCAGGGGCTGAATGGGTTCATTCACCGGTGGTTAGAGTTGGAAAATGCTTCTGGTTTCCTCTAAGCCATTTGCTTTTCCTACAGCATTTTCTATTATAGTGCCTTTGCCAGAGAGTTGCCAGCCCTGGTTTTGATGATCTCCAGTGATGAAGTTTTGATTTGTATGTCTCTTGTATGTAATTTTTATGTCTTGCTCTTTGTTAGGTTTTCTTTTAGGGCATTTCCTTGATGTCTAAAAATTTTCCTTGTAATTTGTATTTACTTTGTTCACAGATTATTTAATCTAAGGTCTGATTGAACAGGAAAGAGATGCTTGGTTCTTAGTCGTTCTGCATTATTAAAAGTCACCAAAACCTAAAAAACGTTACTGAAAAAGATGTAATTATAGGATAGAAACAGATCCCCAACTTTAGTATGTATTTTAGTATTCAAGGTTATCTGATAGTGACTTTGGAAGAGTTTCTTAGGCCTTTTCTGTTGGGAGGCTGGTCAAAAGCCATTGATTTTCATTAGTTTTTTTATTTACACTGAGGGCTCTGGGCTCAGAATTCAGCAGTATGGATCTTCAGTAGCATATCTACAGGGAATCTTAGGCAGCAGTGCTTTTCTATTGTTCCTTTGTGATAATTTCTGTGATCTCAGTTTCTTTCAATGTATATTTTGTTGTATTTTGCTCCACACACACACTTCCCAGCTGTGATATGTTTGCCTTTTTGGTAACTGTAGCTATTGATGAATGAACAAGAGGGCTTCCAGGGAATTAGGGTGTTTTGGCATGAGAGATGTCCCCAAAACACCAAATGGGTTAGGGGCAGCCCTGGCCTTGTGCTAGTGTGACAGTACTGCAGAGAAGAGTTGAACAATTCCTATTAACCTTGTTGAGAGTTCTTCACATTCATCACTGTGCAAGAAATGACCTGGTAAATACACTGAAAGATCTCTCCTTTCACTGTTTTGTCCTCTGGACATTCACTTCCTGTAT